ACGTTCCACGGCAGGTTTTGTGGGCTTCTTAGAAGACACATCAACATTTACTTCTTCCGGTGTGCTGAATGGTTGGGACACGCCGGGAGTCGCTGATGAAACTGCCGACGGGATCGTGATGTCCGCTGCGACAGGCTGGCGGGGAGTAGGAGGAGGCGGCGTAGCTGATACTGTAGGCTTGCCATCACTGTAGCTCCGGAATTGGCTTCGGTGAATTGGAAGCTGGCGTGCGCATGACGAAGCAGAGAAAGTAACCGCGTGTTGCGGTTGCAACCGGGAAAAGAGGCTGGTTCGACAGCGCTGGCAGATCATTATAACGGTGTTCCGGGAAGGTATTCAAATGTAAAAATGACAGTATAAAATTAATTGGTCTTTCCAACGCCTTGTTGTGTCCAGAAATCCGCTGAAGCAGTCCTGTGATGATAATAAAAGGGAACTGCCTGGCACGGAGCAAGCTACAAGAAAACTGCGGGATGAATTTGATGCCAAGCCGGAGGTCATGGTCACATGATCGTGTATACTGGGCGATGGTTTTTGAACAACCCCGAAGTATACATTATCTTCCTTCCTATAGCGGAACGTGAAAGATAGTTGCTGTTCGTAAGGAAGTATATTCGTCATATATAGTTACTTATATTCGAGACCATGAGTTAATAGGGTATTTGCGGATTCGGTGGTACTATCACGTGATAAACATCGGGATGTGTCCAATCAGACATGAAAAGATACAAGAGTCATTCAGGATTCGGCATTGTTAAACTGATGAAGTCACTGGATTAAATTCAGGGTATCTTCGTCTTTATTACGTATCTCATTGGTATTGTCGGGCGGGGGAGGGAAAGTTAGGTCAAGTATAACAGTAGGTACTAGTACTCAATCTGTAGATGCTGTTATTCGTTCTGTTTTGCAGTATATTATGGATCCTTGACTAGCACCTGGTAAGTCATAACAGAATCACTTAGTGAGCTGTAGTAAAAATACCACTGGCCAATCTAAATTTGCACACTAATACTATGCTTCTGTGGGTTCTCTGTTTTCCTAGTTCGTCAGATCTTCGTTACCATGCTTGTTTATGGTATACTACTTCGGCCGCACACAATATAGTGTGTACTAACACACATAGAGGAAGCTGTTGGAGTATGCCACCTGTCATACTATAGAAATTTTGTCGCAAATCGTCAGAAGTTTTGAGTGAGGTATTGAACTGAATAAGTTTAGGTTGATAAGTTTGTCGAACCACCCGTACCAAACATATATAGTTCCAAAGATGTCTCTTAACACCACTACCTAGAATTGAGAGGCCTTAAAAGCAGAAAGACTAGCTGGCGATAGAAGCCATAATTGCACACTATTTCTTTATTAGATATAGATTTCAAATTGTACTGGATATACAATACAGCGCCGAGCCAATGGTGGTTCAAGGATGATAGGTTCTCTGGCAGGATAAGGATTCTCAAGCACAAAAGATAGAATCATAATATAGCGAATAGGGCTTAAACAAGCTATCAAATCAAGCTCAAGAATATTAGACTAAGGTATATTAGACTTTTTCTTATCTTCTAGATCCTAACGAACCGTCTGGGAACCAACCGAGAGTCAGTGATATGTATTGCAGGTTCATCAGGTGCTCTTTGCATTTGGCAGCGCTAACACATGGGGGTCGAGTCCAGGCTGGTATTAAAGAAGTGCGGCATATCTCAATGTGACCCGTTAGGTTAGAGAAGAAGCAGCGGTTAACGGTTGTGATGCCGATCTCTACCCTTATTCAGAGTTTCTTGCTTCGAGCAAGCCCCAAGAGTGAGACGATGCGGGCCTTGTTTCGTGAACCCTGTCGATCTGCCTTGCCAACAAATTCGAAATTTCCCTGTACTATGATGATTGGCTTTCCCTTGTTGCATGTGGAGGAATTAATCCTGGTTGCGATGTCGGTATTGCATTGTGATCTGCGGTGGAGGGGTTGGAAATAGATGATTTTGAATGGCATGACTAAGCTGGCCGGGCACAGTTCACGAAAACATTAAATTGTCCCCTCTCCCTCCACTCCCCAAAATGCAGAACGCAGGCAACGAGGCTCCTTCCTTTGCTCATTTGGTTACTGACATGTCTCGAAAGTATAGCACCCAGAATAATTACTGGTACTGCTATGGCAATGCACTTGTGGTTCGATATAGGTTCTGATCAGAAGTTAGAACTACCGCTTCGGAATCAGGCAATTGGGAAACATGACAAGATTTTTGTGACTGGCAATTAACTATTATAAAAGACACAGGTGTTCGCTGTTCCTGATATCAGTATTCAACATCTTCACAACATGAAGTCAGAGAATAAACTTATCCTACACCGATATTAGATACAGGCTGCATTGTGAATGCCTTATAAAGAAGTTCGCTTCTATCATGCAAAAAAAGAAAAGAAAAGAAAAGAAAAGAAAAGAAAGAAAGAAAGAAAAGAAAAGAAAAACAGAAGAACCAACGTTGCAGCATGTTTTGAATATGAAAAGAAAGAGGCATTATCGAGCGTTGGGAAAGGAGAAAACAAAAGAAGACAAAAAGTACACCGCTAAGCGCCACCCTATGACAGAAAGACAGAAATTAACACGGAGAGAGGGGGAAAAAAGGTGGAAAAAATTAATGAGGTGAAAGGAGATCAGTGGCCTAAGAGGACAGTCCGCTGACAGCTAGGAAATTGCACAGACTGGCACAGGCATCAGTTAGTGTCTTCTCGGTCTTCCACTGCAGCTCCTCCTCTGATCTGGTGGCCACAGCAACACAGGAACCGACATCGCCCGCGCGGCGGTCAGCAGCCTTTCTTGGGATTTCTTTAGAAGACACACTTTCCATAGTGTTCACCACCTCCATTACGGAATGGCCTCTGCCGGTTCCGAGGTTGAATGTACGGAAATTTTCCTTGAGCTTTCCTTCGTTGGCAGCACTGAGGGCTGCGATATGTCCCCGAGCCAGATCCGTGACGTGGATGAAGTCACGGACAGCTGTGCCGTCTTCCGTGTCCCAGTCGGTTCCAAACATCTGCAGCTCCTTGTACTGCCCAGTCATGACCTTGACGACAACTGGGAGAAGGTTGGTAGGGATTTGCTTCGGATCTTCACCGAGAAGGCCAGATTCATCGCATCCTACCGGGTTGAAGTATCGTAGAGCCACGATTGTCCACTCGGGATCGGAGGCCGCGAGGTCTGCTAAGATGGCTTCACAGATCCATTTTGTGCGTCCATAGGGGTTTGTGATGCCTGTGCACCCAGGCTCCATGAGTTTCTCGGACCCGTCGCGGTCTTGGAAGATCTCATCCTTGTGGACACAAAGCTCCTCCTTGAGGGGAAGACCGGAGGTTGCTAGAGTTCCGTATACGGTGGCGGACGACGAGAAGACGAAGGTCTTGATACCAAACTCACCCAACGTTGTGGCAAAGTCGATGAGACCGCTGACATTGTTTGCGTAGTACTTCAGAGGATTCCTGATACTCTCCTCAACCGCTTTGTGGGCAGCAAAGTGGATGACGCCGGAGATCTTGGTCTTTGGCGTACCCCATCTGGACTCGATCTGATATTGCTCAAGAAGCTTGCGAAGAGCAACGCTGTCGCGGTAATCATGGGCATGCAGGTGCATCTCGGGCATTTTAGTTCCTTGTTGCTCATGGTACTTCGAAGCCAGTGTTTTGATGCGATCGAAGACGTTCAGGAAAGCATTGCTAAGGTTGTCGATGACGATTACGTTATAATTGGCCTTGAGTAGCTCCAATGTTGTGTGACTTCCAATGAAACCAAGACCGCCGGTGACGAGGATGTATTGATCCAGGGGGAAGTTGCGCAGCAACTCTTCAAGATTTCCATCGAACAAGACAGATGACTGCGTCGCTGGTGTATCGACGCACCCTGGAGAACAAGGCTCCATGGGAGTACTTGCGTCCGACTGTCGAGGGCTCTCCATTATTGGATGGGTTTATGAAAAGACGAAGTGCAATGAAAGGTGAATGAAAGATGAGAAGCAAACAGAACGGTGTTCGGGCAAACACAAGCAACTACCGGAGTAAACGAGAGAAGAATTGCGTGTTGCTCAGAGGAGAAACAACGAGTGTGAGTTGATTTCCGAACCGGATCGTCAAAGAAAAGAAAGGAAAACACAAATCTTATACTTCCTTGGATGGAAGAAGACACTGCCACTGGTTCGCCGATGTAACCGCCGCTTCCAGCTAAGGTCAAGCAAAAGATATGGTGACGGTGTATTTTTTTTTTTCTTTTCTTTTCTTTTCTTTTTTCTTTTTTATCCTGGTTTTTTTTATTTACAATGAACGAAGGGCATCGCAAGCGAATGGATACAGGATGGATAAAAAAAGAAGTGGATTTACCAATATTATTTCTTTGGTCTATCCTGTTTTTTCTGGGAAAAAAGAAAAGAAAGGACAAAAACGAATTTGTTTTTAAAAAAAATAGGAAAATAGGAAAAAGAAGGGGGAAAAAGAAAAAAGAAAAAAGAAGAAAATAAATAAAAAAAAAAAAAAGAAAAGAAAAGAAAATAATCCCAGAACGTCAGCCCTTTGGTATGGAAAAGCAGTCCAGATCCAAGTGGTGATTCGAACAAAGTTCGCCTCAGATGGGGCAGAAGGGAAAGTAGGCTGCGAAGTGGCCTGCGAACTTCTAGCCGCACTCCACCAGGTTGAGAAAAACCACGGCTAGGACTTTAATGGATGTGTTTTATGCCAGGGAGAAATAAATTGTTCGACATCGACACTGAATGATCCGAGACCTACTACTGCATGGTCAGAACAGAGACCTGCCCCGCTCTATTTTGGGCCCGCCGGCGTGTATTTTTCTGGTTCACCAGGAGGTCCACCACTAAGGCAAAAGGCTGAACGCTAGGTTTCGAGAGCTGACTACTTATTTCTTAGTCTTCCGGCGCCTGGATTTAGTACTCAGCAATCCACTCTCTTGTTCTCCTGCGTTGCAGACTAAGGCATTTGCGTTAAATTGCCTCCCTAACCTGGCAACAATGGGGCTAGACAAACACGTGAGCGGTCGTCGTTGTCTGCAAAGCCGACGTTCTCGAATCATTTTGGGGGTCTTTGTTTTTATTGCCATTCTCGCGGTCGTTATACCTCCGGCAGTCGTGGTCACCCTACGCAAGAAGAACAGCATGGGCCCTAAAGCTAACATCTTCGTCCCTCTCTATGTGTACCCTGCCCCTGGTGCCTGGGATCCATTGGAAGCAGAGTATGTACCTTCATTTCCATCCCCACTACCCTCCCCCCCCAAAAAGGCTGAGATGTTCTGGTCCATGAAATATATACATCATAAGCAAGCTGAAAGCCAATTGCATGCTGCATGCAAGTGGTAAGCTAGAATTTTGGGGAAAGTAACTAAGCGCCACAGGATCTCTTCACATCCGGAGGCCAACTTTACCGTTGTGATTAACCCAGCCAGCGGCCCCGGGCCCGATGCCCTGCCCGATGCTAATTATACCCGCGAGATTCCCAAGCTCGCCTCTTATGACAACGTGCGTCTCTTGGGTTATGTTCCTACAACCTGGGCTAAACGCAACATCTCGGCCGTGCGTCGCGACATCGAAACCTACGCAGAGTGGCCGACCAACAGTTCGAACCCTAAGCTTGCGGTTCGGGGTATATTCTTTGACGAAACACCCCAACAGTATGATGCCGATGCGTTGTCATATTTGCAAGGGCTCAGCTCATTCGTGAAAGGCCTTTCTGGCCTTGGTCCAGACAACTATGTATGTGTGACCTTTCTCTTTCACCCCCTCTGTAATTTTTATTACCGCACCGTATTCATGGTAATTTACATGGGTATCAACTTTTTTCGACATCGAAGATTGGTACACACCTCAGGCCCCCGTGTCCCTTCCCCCCACTCTCTGCATCCCCTTTT